TTTCTGCTGACACATTTAGGGTGCAGGGTTACGGGATGCTTCTGAGCATACAGCAAGGGAGCCAGAGAGACAGCAGGGCTAGCGTGGCATCCTGAACTTCTGAGAGTCCAGTTCAGGATTTTTTACCTTTTGGTGAAGACTTAAAGCCTGTTCCCACTCCTTCTGCAACAAAGCCTCTTGCATGCAGCTCAGCCATGTGGCAGAACGTGGAGGATGGGAGATGCCCAGAGCCTTGCTCTGCAAGGCAGCATCTGTCGGGTCAGGCAGAGCCATTTCCCTGTTGCTGCGCAGGGTCTCCAGCTTTTCCTGTTACTGCAGGGCCGTGCATCATGGCTGTGGCTCAGTATGAACCCATGGGAGAGCTCAAGATGTATTCTGCAGAAAGTACAACTGTCTGCGACCGCTGGCTCAGCCTTATGGCTGTGTGAAAAGATTGCTTTCTGGAGGGCAGAGGAACGATAACAGCCTGGCATTTCATCTTCTGAGACATTAAGCGAAGTGTGGGAACGCTGGGCTACAGGTTTAGACTTGAGCACTGCAAGATTTTAATAGCTTACTTGTTTATGTGGAGCTTTTGGAGGATGCACTAGTGGCATTGGGTACTAGAAAGGCCACAGTCTCCTACGTGCAAACTGCAAGAGCGACCAAAGCTCGAGATGTGGGGCTATGAAGGGGGAATACTCTGAAGGCAGCCCCGGTGAGCTCCCTGCCTGTCTGCTTCCACCTTTCGTGTCTGTGTCAGGTGAGCGTTGGGCTCCTTTCACACCCTCCCTTCCATCACCCAGCTGCTTTAGGTTGAGCAGTGGTGAGCTGTGGAAACAGAGGAGAGGAGGGAAAGCTTCGTAGGCAGCCTGGTGAATTTAACCTCCAGTCCCTTGAGATTTAAGTGTGAAGGAAGGTTGTGTGAGTGTGGCAGCTCTGCACACCCGCTGGGAGTCGGTGGGCCCTTGGGATGATGTAGCCCTTGTCCTGCACCGGCCTGGGAGGGTTCTGGGTGCCCTGGTTACAGGTGTGAACTGGAGTCCCAGCCTGCAGTCTGAGCAAGCCCAGTACACAGCAAGAGACCAGCTGGCACCAGCAGGTGTTTAGCATCTGCCCAGGGGAATGCAAATAGAGGAAGCTCGGAGAAAGCAGAGCACCCTCTTCCCCAGCCCACACCAAGGGAACAGAGCTAGAAAGTTCACAGCAGCTGCTGTTGCTGAGAGTCCCAAGCGAGAGCCAGGAGCCTCTCTGAGCATGTGGGGTGAACGGCTGTTCTTTTCTCATCAAAAGCAGGTACTGTTACTCCTGCCACAACTCCCACCTCCTCAGATGTGGAGCAGTGAGAATTGGTTCCTGAAAAGCAGCAAAGGGTTTGAGGAGGTGAGGGCGAAGATTTCCAGCGGCGTGAGACAGGCTGGCTGGGCAGTCCTGCTGCTGGCTGGAAGCCTCTGAGCCATTTCCGAGCTGACCACGTCGCTGCTCTTCCCCCTTTCCTCGTCCGTAAGGCCTCTCTTGGCCACCCAAAACAACTGGGGCTGCTGGGGAGCACAGTGTTCTCAGGGGGTTGGTGCCAGTAGCATTTCTTGTACCACCACCAGCAAAACCAAGAAGGAAAGGAGAGGTTCATTGATTGGAGCAGTTGTGGGAGGACCCTTGCTGAGCTCAGACCATCTAAGGAGGACAGATCCCTTCTGGGTGCTGTAAAGCTCAGTCTGAGCGAGGAAGAGGAGACCTCAAATTGCCCTTGGGAAGGCAGAGCAGAGGTCCTGCAGTGGTGGGGAGAGGGCTGAGATCCTGGGAGGGACAAGAGGGCACAAGTGTGGCTCAGGGGTGCACAGAGCAGATTCCACAACTTCTGCAGTTAACTCTAAGTCGCAAGCAGAAATCAAAGGGAAGGGGGAATTACTTGCTGTGTGTGCCAGCTCAGATGAGCAGCTCTTCTCTAGTGGCTTTTTTTCCTGGTTTGAGATACAGATTTCTTCTTTCTTCTCTGCGCCTTTCAGACTCCTCTCCCTCTTCTAGCACTGACACATGTCACCCCCCTTCCAGCCAGCCTGACTGTTCCCATCTCTCTGTGCTGTGCAGCATAAGGGGCTTAGAAGCTGAAATCTCAGAAAAAGGAGGGCTGAGAAACCGCTGGGAGGTAAAGGGCGTTCTTTCATTCCCACAGGGATTCTGTACATCCTCCAGAGCATCCTTTCCCACCTCGGGAAAGATTTTTGAATTGTTGGATGACTTTAAATTTAATTCATTTTCTGACTGTAGACATCTATGACTCTTTGTCTCAAAAAACCCCAATATTTTGGTGTTTTCAGAGTGTGAAAATAGTTTTTGGAAGTAGACAGTGGTTTTGTTTCCAGAGGTGGACATTTGTGTAGTGGAACAGAATCTGGAAATGGGATGAGAATCAACAGGATTTTTTCTGAGAAGAATCACAAATGAGAAATGTTTCAGAGTCACAGAGTGCACCCAGTACACAGTATGTTGTGGTGGCGGAGGGAGGAACTTGTGTTGAAGAACTGTGGAGACCGTGATAGTCACTGTGTGATGGATGGAGATGGGGAGAACCCAGGAAAGACTGGTAAGGAGTGAAGGGAGAGCTAGAAGACAGCATTAAAGTAGCTGAGAACGTAACAGGAGGAAGGTGAGACAAAATAAGCTGAGAAGCCCTGACTGCCTTTGGTGCTTCCCAGTAACTGAGCTTAGGGGAAGAGCTGTTCTGGCGGCTGCCTGGAAACCTGCTTCTGGGGGAATGTTGGGGTGTTTATACTTGTCTGGGAGCAGAGAGGAGTCCTTGGACTGGAGCACTGAAGAGTGGAGCGCTCCGCCTCCGCTTCCCCTGGCCAAGGTTGCTACGGGCAGAG